TGCACTTGGTGGGGGGGTGTTCCTTAGCCCAGCCTCCACCCTCTTGCAGTCCAGGACCCCTCGGAGGATGTCCGTCTGCTTGCTTAGGCCCGATCCCCCTGGATTTCACAACTGTTAATGCCACATCCAGTTTTGAGGGCAGCTGGAGAAATAGTCTTTGTCCTAGGTGGTCAGATGTGTAGCAAAAATTCAGATTCTTTGTCCTAGGTGGTCAGATGTATAGCAAAAATTCAGATTCTTCTACCACATAAGTAGGGATGAGTGAATATTGGAGAATAGTCAGCTGTTTTGACCATTTCCCACCATCTGTCCCAAACTCTTAGCTCTTTCCAGTGTAAATCCTACCACTCTACCTTTTGGAACTCACAATGTGTTATTGGTCAAAAAATCTTTACTCTGGAATGGTTTATTTCTTTACTTTCACAGTCTAACTTAAATCTGGTTCTTTCCTAAGGACACTGCATTCCCCTCGGCCCTCTCAAGTGGAAGCTGTTTAGCCTCCCAGATTCCCATGTGTCAGAGGGCCTTCTTTCTCATTAGTGTATCTGGACAGTTGGTTCCCTTTCCTCTTCCTCTCTAAAATCTCCTACTCTCTTTGAAATAAGTCCTACCAGTCAACCCTGTCTTTCTGCAGTCATCTGCAGATCTATGCTGTGTCTATCTCCACCACTATTCTTCTCATTCTTCTCAATGATTTAATATCCACAAATCAATCTATCCCATTCCCTGGCCTCTCAGTTCATTGACCTCAGCCACCCACTTTTCACCATCTAACCTACTTCAGAATTACCAATATCTACATTCTCCCCAAATAGGTTTTAAGCATCTTATTGTATTTATATCTCCATTTGTTTTTCTCTAGTTTACTTCATGTAGAATCTTAATGCTGTCTTAGCCAGTTTGGCTCTGGGATAGAGGGTCCTGAGGACTGAAGGGTCCGGGTTCGATTCTGGTCAAGGGCATGTACCTGGGTTGCAGGCTAAATCCCCAGTTGGGGCACATTCGGGAAGCACCAATCGAAGTGTCTCTCACATTGATGTTTCTCTCTCTCTCTGTCTCTTCCCCTCCCTTCCACTCTCTCTAAGAATCAATGGAAAAATATCCTCAGGTGAGGGTTAACAAAACAAAACAAAAAATAGAATCTTAATGCAGACAATACTTCAGACTTTAGTAGGACTTCTTAGGCCACCTTTTCATGTACCTGGGTAGTCTCATCTTATGGCTTTGAACATGATCTCTGCACTGACAACCCTCAAATTGATATCTCATTGATATTTCCAGCTCCGTCCTCTTCCTTGACTCCAGACTTGTATATCCAATATCTCCTTGAATTTTCCATTTGGATGTCTAATAGGCTTCTTAAATTTAACATATCCAAAAAAATTTTTTTTATATCTTCCAACATGTTCCTCCCTCAATCTTCACCTCAGTAAGTGGCAATTCTGTTCTACCTATTGAAGCTTCAGTCATTTTTTATTCCTCCTTTTCTTAAACCCAACTCATCAATAAATCCTATGGAATATTATTTCACAATATATTCAGAATGCGACCTCTTCATATCAGTCATACCACTACTGTCTTTCTCATCCAAGCCACATCTTTCAACTCTCTTCTAGACTATTGAAATCCTAAGTGGCCTCCCTGGTTCCAGTCTTGTTCATCCTTGCTCTGTTTTTTTTTTCATTTGCTTTAAAAATATACTATCCATACTGGCACTTTAAAAACGTAAGTCAGATCGTATCTCTTCATTTCTCACAACCCTTCATTCATTCAGAAGAAAATCTGAAGCTTTATTGTGGTTTTTCAAGCCCCTGTATGATCTGTACCCTCTCTCTTCTCCCCTAATTTCCTGCCACTCCCTTCACTCACGCTGTATTAGCCATACTGGCCTTCAGGATCTGACTTAGTCTTAAAGGCATTGCTGGCTGCTGTATTTAGAATTTTAAGGGAGTAAGTGTCGGAGCAGAAAGATCAGTTCTGGGGTTACTGCAGTAATCAAGGCAGGGGATGACAGTGACTTTGGACTATGCTGGACGTGCTGAGAAGTAGCCAGATTTGGAGTATACAGTATTTTGGTTGTTGACTGTCAGGGTTTGCTGAGCACATTTTTGCCTCTTAAGCTCCATGAAATTTGACCCACACTAGACCAAAGACAAATTATAAATGATTTTTGGTAGCAAAGGCATAGTTGCTCTCACGTGCTCCCTTTGCAAAGTTGTGAAATTGATCAAGTTACCTATACTCAAGAAACTTTCTTTTTATTACCTCCCCCCCGCCTCCCCCCCAACCCCTCTTCACTCTACTCCCTACCACCCCCCCCACCCCCCAGTACCACTGACTAGTCAGATCCTTGATAACCAATGCCTTTGGGCAAATAAAAACCTCCTCAGTGCAGCCCTCAGGCAGCTCTGCACTTCCCTGAATTAGTTAAGTGCTAATACTATTTCTTTATTTCTCTATTTAGCTTCACACCAGAATGCCATATCCTTCATGCAAATGATCTCAGCTAAATAGGATGTTTGGGGCCCTGGCTGGGTGGCTGGGTTAGTTGGAGCTTCATCCTGTGCACAAAAAGGTTGAGGGTTAGATTCCAGGTCAAGGCACTTACCTGGCTTTTGGGTTCCAACCCATCAGGGCAAATATGAGAAGCAACCAATCTATGCTCCCTTCCTTCCTTCCTTCCTTCCTTCCTTCCTTCCTTCCTTCCTTCCTTCCTTCCTTCCTTCCTCCCTTTCTTTTCTTCCTTCCTCCCTTTCTTTTCTTCCTTCCTTCCTTCCTCCCTTTCTTTTCTTTCTTCTCTTCTCTTCTCTTCTCTTCTCTTCTCTTCTCTTCTCTTCTCTTCTCTTCTCTTCTCTTCTCTCCTCTCCTCTCTCTTCTCTCCTCTCCTCTCCTCTCCACTCCACTCAGAACAAGTCGTGTGGGATCAGATCTGAACTGTAAAATTCTTACTTTAAAAATTTTTTTATCTTACTATATCATTATCTCACATCAAGAGAAACCATATTCTTGGGTGAAGATTAAAAACAAATAAATAAAAAGAAACAGGATGTATGGGGAAGATCTTTCTGAGCAAGGAAGAATCTTCCTGATGTTAGAATGGCACCTTCCTCTTTCTGTAATTCCTTGGCATCTTGTTTCTGAATTGTTGCAGATTTCTTTCTTATGAAAAAAATTGTTGCTTTTACTATTTAGATGAGATTATTATTGCTTTTGGTGAGACATTATTCCTAATTATTCTGGATTTCATGTTTGAGGTACTTTGATCTAGGCTACATCATGTCTTTGTCAAAGATCTTTCAAGTTTCTGTTTGTAATTGTATATTCAGAGTTTATATATTTTTTCTTGTCATTTGTGTTATCATTTTCAGAAGCAACAATTATCTGCTTTTATTCTTTTAAAATCCTTATAAGCAGGGTGAATTTGGCTTATTATGAAAAAGCAGAATTTCATAAGTATGTTTATTCTTCCCCCCTTTCTAATTGGAAGGGGTCTGATGGGAGGGGAGAAGGAGTTTTGAAAACAATGTTGAAACTCTAAGAACCAAAAGTGAGCCTATGAAGTATGTGGGTAAGAGATTGTGTTCTTTTTCTGGCTGCTGTAACATAGTTTCATACTTTTGACGTTGAACAGAAATCTTGCTGAGTGAACTGGAAGAGACAGAGAGGCTTCTTACCCTAGTTGCAAATTGGCTGACCATAAAACTTCAGATTTTTTTCTGTGGTTTTAACAACTTTTTCCTCCCAGTCTAACAAATTTATGAGTAGAATAAGTGAAAAAGATGCTTTGAAATACAGCTATGTTTAGCACCTTGCTGATCTAAAAACCTTCCTGGGTTAGGGGGAATGATAAGTTATTTAAGGGAGACCTACTGAATTCTTACCTATACTCAGCATATTCTTTGATACAGTTAGCAGTAATTTTCTACTTGGTGAAGAGGATTTTGTTCCTTTAATTACACTTTGATTTAATTTATTTATTTTCTTTTTAGGTTAGTGATATTACTCAGAAAGAATCCTATAACTATAAAATGAACTCAGACAATTTAGCATTTTCTTGATTTGTATCTTTTGATGACCTGGTTATTTGGGGGAGTATTTCTCTTCTTTTTCTAGATTTTTATTTGTCAATTACATTGTGATTTTCATGTAACTTTTATAAGGGTTTTATTACCGCTGCTTACATAACTCACATATTTTTCACATTGTCACTATGACAACCATAAATGTTGGGGTAGTACATCTACCTCCAATAGAATGTAAACCTCAGATTGGACCACTAGGTTGATGATATCATAATATTTCCACGTTATTAAAGCCCTTAATATCTTAGCCCTCAATCACATTTTGGGAATTTATTCTAATGTATTAAACATGACCAATATTGATTTGCCATTGAGGGCTTCCCAGTTTACAGAATCATTTAAAAAAATATATTTTTATTGATTTCAGAGAAGAAGGGAGAGGGAGAGAGAGATAGAAACATCAATGATGAGAGAGAATCATCGCCCGCTGCCTCCCCCCCCCTTCGCCCCTCCCTGCCCCTGGGGATCGAGCCTGCAGCTGGAGCATATGCCCTTGACCGGAATCGAACCGTGGACCCTTCAGTCCATAGGCCAATGTTCTGTCCACAAAGCCAAACCGGCAAGGGCCCAGTTTACAGAATCTTCTGATTTGATCTCCAGATAGCTTTTGGAGATTATTTACCTGACCAGTTTAGTGCCCTGCACTTGTAGGACTGTTTCAGGCAGGGTGTAGAGGGCCTCTGGAGTCCAACCCAAGGTCTCTAATCACCCGTTGGCAGGATTAGCACATTGACTAGTTTTCTTCCTCTTTCCCTGTATTTATACCAGCAGGATTGAAGGTGTGTTTCAGTGTCCTTGGGGTCCTAAGATGTTTTGCTTGCTTTTATTTTGTGTGTGTGTGTGTGTGTGTGTGTGTGTGTACATGTGTTTGTTTTTAATGTAGATTTTATATTTTCCCCCTAATTTTTATTTTTACAGTGAATGCATTCAAGTAGCATTTAAAAATTTTGCTGGAAAGTGGAAGCATGAGACTGAAGATATCACTTTTAAAAGAACCAAAGCATATCCTTTTAACACTTGCAGACCTTATTGTGATCATCTTACTAGAGTATTGTTAAGTTTTGTTCTATTTTGTATTCTACTTGGATAATGGGTGTTTTGGGTGTTTTTTTTTCATTCCTTTAATGGCAGTTTAACTAAATTGTTTTTGAAATATTTGAGGTCATGTGTTGCAGGTAATTCTCCAAAGCAAACTATTTGCTCTAAATCTTACTTTCAAATTCTTATTGACATTTTTCTTACTTTACTTAAGTACTGTACTTAAGTACATAAAAAATAATTTTTGTTTAGTCTAGTAGGATCTTGAAGAGAAGCTTTTTTAAAACAAATAGTTTCTTTGCTAGTGTGATGTAGTAAGTTTTTAAATGAATTTTGCTTTATTTCTTTATACTCTCTTCATGATAAAGTGGAGAACAAGCTGAAGAAATTTGAGCAGTTAGAGCTTTATTATTTCACTAGAGGCCCGGTGCATGAATTCCTACATGGGTGGGGTTCCTTGGCCTGGCCGGCGATAGGGGCTAATTGGTCCGTCTCACCCAGTCCCAATCGGGGCAAATCGGGGCTAGCCGGCTGGGGAGAGGGATCGCAGGAAGTTGGCCAGCCACGGGAGGTTGGCTGTGGGAGCGCACTGATCACCAGGGGGCAGCTCCTGCATTGAGCATCTGCCCCCTGGTGGTCAGTGAGCATCATAGTGACCAGTTGTAATGGTCGCTTAGGCTTTTATACATATAGATGTAAGAAGATGGAAATTATAAATATTTTCTCCAACATATGACCTTATATTTTGTCAACAAGAATTTCTGATTATGTATCAGGAAGATATGATAGGCCCCTCCACCTTCATTTTTATATATACCAGTGCTTCTAAAAGTATTATTTGCAGACTTTATTACAGGTCTGTAAAGGGATAGTACAGAAATTGAAAGTAAGAGGTAAACAATTTTTGTAGGAATTTGACATTGGGAAACCATCCAAATATAAGATCATTTTTCTAGTAATTTATTTTTATTTTATCTAACAAAATGTTGATCTGCAACAAATTTGAAATCAAGAAAAATATGTTCCTTCATCAGAGATAGAAAAGCACTGAATTAGACATTTGATTAAATCTTTTGAATTTATATTACCTTGTCTGCTTGTTTTACCTTTTGAGTGAAGGTATAATTTCTCTTATTTGTACTTAAATCATTTTTACTATTTTTTCAAAGTGTGCCCTCAGGTGTTCATGCCATATATAATTATAACATATGCAAGATTCATGTCATTTACAAGATTTCGACTATGTCCATTATCTGTTTTTGCCTTTCTTTTCAAGCTGAATAATAGTCTAATAGCAGTCTTTTTAGACTTTCTTAATCTGACATTCTTCTCATTTCTCTCATAATTTTAGTTGATCTATTAGTTTGAAGATATGTCATGCACATCTGATGTTTATTTACAGCAATTTACAAAGGATAAGCTTAATGTGTGTGTGTATGTGCTTTCTCCCTTTCTAAGTTTTACCTAACATTCTGCCTTTCTAAAGGTCTTTACCTAACACCATTTAGGCTATAGAATTTATATTGGAATAATTTTTTCAGTAATGGTCTAGTGATGATATCCTTTTGTTTAGATTATATTTTGAGTATTCCAGTGCCATTTTATTACCTATTTATCTTAGGACTTTGATAATCTTTCTATAATTTATTTTTGCCTTTTTGATTATTTGCTTAATCTGTCATATTTTGAAATAGTATGAAAAAATCTTAGAACATCCCATAGTAATTATGGCACATTGTCTCTTTTTCCTTGAAGTTTATTGAATGTTCAGATAAGCCAGTAAAAAGCACTGATGAGAAGGAAGTAAAAGGATTATACAATAACAACAAGAGAACAAACAACTCACCTAGGAATGATCTGGTAATGTAGAAATCCAGATGTAAACAAGAGAAAGCATCCCTGATAAACAACAAACTGAAATGCCTTCTCTAAATATATGCTTCTCCTAGGCCCTAGAACCTAGGGTAAGCAGCCCATTCTGATGGAGAAGTGAGGGCTACTGAGCACCTCAAATTATAGAAATCCTCCTGATAAATCAGAGATAAAAAATGGGTTAAAGTAAGAATTTTAGGGTTCATGTCTCATCCAGCACTATTCTCTTTATAGGCACATTAAATTGTAATTAAACTATTCCCTGAATTTAATGTCAAAAAGTTTGGTAAGATTTTTGTTTCAGCTGTTAAGCTAATGTTTTTTCCTAAGTAGATTGTTATTATAATGTGTAATTTAAGCAGATATTTTACTGTTAGGTTTCAATCTTCTTTTAACACTTGAATTTTTAAAAACTCATCAAAATAATACATGCTTATTCTAACTTAAATGATACAGACATATGTAAGTAAAAAAAACATACTTCCCTCCTTTCCCCCCAGTAATTGAGTGTATTATATCCTTTCATACCTTTTGAGCTGTTAGATGCTTTGTATATCTTTTAGTCTTATTTATGGAATATTTTATAACACAATTTAAAATTTTTCATTTTGTCAATTCTTTTTCTCTCTCTTTTTTAATATATATATATTTAAATATATATTTTATTGATTTTTTTACAGAGAGGAAGGGAGAGGGACAAAGAGTCAGAAACTTTGATGAGAGAGAAACATTGATCAGCCGCCTCCTGTACACCCCCTACTGGGGATGTGCCGGAAACGAAGGTACATGCCCTTGACTGGAATCGAACCTGGGACCTTTCAGTCCGCAGGCTGACCGATGCTCTATCCACTGAGCCAAACCAGTTAGGGCCTTTTTCTCTCTCTTGGCATTTGGATTTTTTATCTTGCTTTTCATTTTTACAACTGTTTTGGTTAGATGTTTATTTTTTCTTTAAATAGAAAATATATGAAAGCCATAAAATGAAAACACATTTAGAAGTTTGAAATGTTTGATCCTGTTTTATACTTATCTTATAATCTGCATCTGAAAATTATTTAAAATGTAAGACTTTTGTGTGTTGTCTCCTTAACATGGTGACACATCAAGAATTAGTAAGCTGTGTGGGCTGGACTAATGCAGAAGAACTGTATTCATGCAGTGATGATCACCAAATAGTGAGGTGGAACTTGTTAACCAGTGAAACAAGTCAAATAGTAAAGCTTCCTGATGACATTTACCCAATAGATCTTCACTGGTTTCCAAAAAGTTTAGGCACCAGGAAACAAACTCAAGCAGAAAGCTTTGTCCTCACAAGTTCTGATGGTAAGTTGTTAATGTTAAATGCTCATCTTGGTATTTAGAAGACATAATAGGGTAATATGACTTATGCTTTGAGTTGTTTTACAAAACTGATGTTTTTGGATCCGCATGCCTTCATCCACACATTTTGTCCATTTTCTATGTAGTCATTTGGTTTATGTTTAAACTATAAAACTGTTGTGATGGAAGAAAGTGAATTCAACTGGTGTTTGGTGGAATTGAATCGGAAAGTTTAACTTTACTTTTTCTGTTCTCTCTTACTAGTTGTTAAGCTATTACCAATTTTGGTTTCTAATTTCTTCAAATTTAACTTTATGACATAACCATACTAAAATATGGGCACATTTAGTAAGCTACTTTATTTTTTAGTACATGTTAATTTCTACTTATAGAGTTGGAGATGTATTAAATTTGACTATAGCTTTATTATTGGTGAGTAAAAAGCATGATTTTCTACTTTTTTAAGGGAATGTTTTAATTAGAAACAGTTTGAATTGTTTTTGACTGTATGACACTTGACCTACTCTGTCAATTAAGAGTACATTCATCAGAAGTAACAGAAACTTACTTAGCTAACACTTATGCACAGTTGGAGTTTTTTGGTTCACTTAGCTCTAGGGGTAGATCTTTAAGCACAGCTGCATCGGGCCCTGTTCTCACCAGCTCTTGGATAGGCTTTCCCTACAAGGTGAGCATGATGGCAGTCCACAGCCCAAGTCTCATCCTCCTAGGAAAAATATTAGCAGAGGGAGTGCTTCTTCCTCAATATCTCATACAGGCAAGTAGCAGAGAAGGTTCTGGGAGATCATGGATCAGTCACTCATCACTGTGTGAATCACTTTAGTTAGGGGAATGTGACACTGAGTGAGCACAGCAGGCCTCAGGCCATTGTGGAAAGGCAAACAAAGAAAAGAGGGCTTTTGTAGCCAGAACAAGGAAGGGATGTTATGGCAGACATGCACATCAGATGCCACAACTTTTACAGACAGAACTTCTGGTAACTTTTTTTCATTAAATGAGATATTGTGTAAAAGTACTTATAGTGTATGGTGCTTAGAAAATTGATTCTGAGCCACAGCTAGAATTTAGCTAATCTCAGATGATAAAATGAAGCATTGACTTTAAAAAGAATCACCTTTTAATTTTGATTTAATTTCACTTTCACAGAAAAGTTGCAAGAATTGTACAAGTAACTCTTGCATATCCTTTATCTAAATTCACTAATTGTTAACATTTTGTTTCATATTCTTTCTCATTGGTCTTCTCCTCTCTCTCCCTGTCCCCAACCACATACACTTTTTTTCTAAAACATTTGAGAATAACTTACAGTCATGCCCTGTAACCATAAATACTTCAATGTATTTCCTAAGAGTTAGGATTTTCTGTTACATAACCACAATACATTGATCAAAATCAGGACATTTAACATTAATGCAATATTATTATCTAACTTGCAGTTCATATTAAATTTTTAATAATCGTCCTAATAATGTCTCTTATAGAAATTTTTTTCTGGTCCTAAATAACACATTGCTTTTATTACACCTCTCTGGTCTCCTTTAATCTGGAGCAACTCCTCAGTCTTTCTTTCCTAATCTTGACAGTTTTGAAGAATACAAGCCTGTTATTTTTCTAGAAATCCCCTCAATTTGTGTTTGTTGGCTGTTTCCTCATGCTTAGATTTAGTTTACATGTTTTTAGCATCAATAAGCAGTGGTTCTCAACCTTCTGGCCCTTTAAATACAGTTCCTCATGTTGTGACCCCCAACCATAAAATTATTTTCATTGCTACTTCATAATTGTAATTTTGCTACTGTTATGAATCGTAATGTAAATATCTGATATGTAGGATGGTCTTAGGTGACCCCCAAAGGGGTTGCGACCCACAGGTTGAGAACCGCTGATTTAGAGCATCAGATTGGGAAATTCATGATGCTGGTTTAACCCATTATTAGTGATGTTAACGTTCATTTCTTCAAAAGGTGTGTTCACTAAATTAATCTACTATGAAGTTACTACTTTTCTCTTTTAATAAATAATTTGTGAAAGAATATATTCAGACTATGTAAAAATATTCTCTTCCTTCTCAAACTTCCTCCCACTGTCTTAGCATCTTGGCTGAATCATTTATTACTAAGACTAGAGGCCCGGTGCATGAAAACGCGTGTACTCGGGGATGGGGTCCCTCAGCCTGGCCTGCGACCTCTCGCAGTCTGGGACTGTGGAGAGCGGCTACAGTGTTTGGACAGGTTCAAGCCTTGGACTAATGAGAGGGCACAGTCCTCTCATTACCACGGGCAAGTCCCAGCTTGGAGGGCAGGGCCCTCCCAGCACAGTTATAGCTAACAGCTATAGTTGTAAGCTTGAACCTATGGTCTGAACACGTAGCCCCACATGTCTGAGTAATATGGGCTTGATAGAGTTCAGGTGCATGTAACTGAGTAGCATCGAAACCCACAAGAATGTTGTAAACATCTTGACCACACCCTTACTTTGCCTCGTGGAATCTGGCTATAAAATAAAAACATGGCTTGTAGTCCGTGGCACTGTCTCTCCATCCAGGAGCAGCATCCTACCCAGACCCAGATTTTATTCTCTTGTCTGTCTTTTCTCCATCCTTCACCGCCCCCTCTCAGGGTCACTGAACCAGGCTGAGCTGGTGTGGCACATAAGGCACCCTGGGGCTGAGTATGCCATGGCCGTGCCGGCTCACCACACGGGACCCCTCGGGTAATGTCCAACTGATGGCTTAGGCCCACTCCCCGGGGGATCGGGCCTAGGTTGGCAGTCAGACATCCCTCTGGCAGCCCTGGGGACCTCAGGGGATGTCCACTTGCCAGCTTAGGCCTGCTCCCCGGGGATTAGGCCTAAGCTGGCAGTCAGACATCCCTCTGACAGCCTGGGAGCTCTCAGGGGATACGGCTTAGGCCTGCTCTTCAGGGGGCGGGCCTAAGCTGTTAGTTGGACATCCTTATTGCTGCCACGGAGGCGGGAGAGGCTCCTGCCACCACTGCTGCGCTGGCCAGCCATGAGCCGGTTTCTGGCTGAGTGGTACTCCCCCTGTGGAAGCGCACTGACCACCAGGAGGCAGCTCCTGTGTTGAATATCTGCCCCTGTGGGTAAGTGCGTGTCCATAATGACCGGTTGTTCCTGGTCGTTCTGCCATTAGGGTCAATTTGCATATTACCCTTTTATTATATAGGATGGTTGCCAAATGATAATTTTTTAAAACTTCATAATTCCTTCCGTATTGATCAGTTGGTATTCTACTGCAAGGAAGAGCCTTCCATATCCTGCCATTTATTTATTTGTTTGCTATGTCAGTTAGATTCATAGATTTTTATTTTATTTCTTGAGTAGCCTGTTACCATTATTTTTATTGATTGATTGACTGATTGATTGATTTTAGAGGTGGGAGGGAGAAAAAGGGAGAGAGAAACATCAATGTAAGAGAGATACATCAATTAGTTGCCTCCCATATGCACCCAACCAGGGATTGAACCAGCAACCTTCCCGTGCACAGATGATGCTCCAACCCAATGAGCCACACCAGCCAGGGCCTGTTACCATTATTTTTAAATTTTGATGTTAAAATTGTCTCACATTTGGCCAGCGGGAGCCCCATTAAACCAGTTCAAATAATCTTTGTTTTTCTTTTTTTGGGGCGGGGGTGGGGGGTATGTGTCTTCATCAGTTTTCTGGTACTACTTTGCTGGCACAAGATATTCTAGGCTCATCTTGTACTTTCCCAGTTTCAGCCCTCAAATCATCTGTTTCTCCTGTTCTTTATTTGGTGCTTAATGGTATTTCAAAACTAAGATAAGAGTGCTATATGTGCTCGTTTCAAAGTGGTGTGTGTACTTCAAGGCCCTTTCAGAGGACTGAGCAAAATTTAGGAATATAAATGTATATTAAAAAACACACATATCTACAGCTATTTCTTTCTCCCTTACTCTCTTTTTCCCTCTTTCCCTCCCTCCCTTCCTTTCATTTTTTTCTTTCCATACAAAAAACCATGAGTTAATTCTGATACCACCAGCTCCAATTCAACACCACGGGGTTAATTCTAGTATCTTTTTCTCCATACTTGAAAACAGTGAGAAAGACTGACTTTCATTATTCTTAATATATTTACTCATTTACTCAATTCTATAATACACAGTAGGTTGTTTCAGAGTTACTAACCCATACTACTGCAAAAAAATTTAATTAGAATTCAAGTGTTTACTGTTGTTATCTTTACACTGAGGCTATAGAGTCAAAGTCCTGTGTTCAAAAATTACTTGCATTTCCCCCCTGCTTAAGTGTTGTTATGTTACTCATTTATAGATAAGTATATTTATTTCCCTTTGTTTTTCATGTAAGCCCCTCCTCCCATTCTTGTTGATTTGATTATCTTTAAATATGTTAAACGTTAACATGGATGGTTCCATGAAGTGAAAAGTGTATTAAAAATATATACTTACTCAGAGTATTGTTACTACCTTGACCCACCCAATCCCATACACCTTGTTCCTATTTACTCCTTCTAGGTAACCAACCTCGTTGGTTCTGGTTTATCCTTCCTGTGTTTCTCTTGGCAAAAATAAACAGATGCATGTATATTTCCTCATTTCACCTTTTTTTTATACAACAGGTGGCATATCACATATTTTCTTTGCATTTTCCTTTTTAAACTCAACAGTATATGAGGATTGACTTATCTGGTGACTGTGAATACTAAATCTAATTAGTCTTGATGGTTTCTGTTGTCTGAGTGTTTTTCTGAATTATTAAGCTTAATTATACTTAACTAAAAAATAATTGCTTGGGTCTTTATTTCACATTGGCTTTAGATAAAACACTTTCTGATAGGGAAAAGAAGTTTAAAGTAAAAGAAATGTAATTTAAAAGAGAAATTTACACGATTAAATAAGGAAAACTACATTATGACTAAAAAAAATAGAATGTATCATTTTATTTTGGGGTTTACTGTATAAAAAAAACCCCAAATAAGATAACAT